AGTTGTAGCACTCTGGGATATCTTCAGAGAGTTGTAGCACTCTGGGATATCTTCAGAGAGAGTTGTAGCACTCTGGGATATCTTCAGAGAGTTGGGAGCACTCTGGGATATCTTCAGAGAGTTGTAGCACTCTGGGATATCTTCAGAGAGTTGTAGCACTCTGGGATATCTTCAGAGAGTTGTAGCACTCTGGGATATCTTCAGAGAGTGTGTAGCACTCTGGGATATCTTCAGAGAGTTGTAGCACTCTGGGATATCTTCAGAGAGTTGTAGCACTCTGGGATATCTTCAGAGAGTGGTAGCACTCTGGGATATCTTCAGAGAGTGGTAGCACTCTGGATATCTTCAGAGAGTGGTAGCACTCTGGGATATCTTCAGAGAGTGGTAGCACTCTGGGATATCTTCAGAGAGTGGTAGCACTCTGGGATATCTTCAGAGAGTGGTAGCACTCTGGGATATCTTCAGAGAGTGTAGCACTCTGGGATATCTTCAGAGAGTGGTAGCACTCTGGGATATCTTCAGAGAGTGGTAGCACTCTGGGATATCTTCAGAGAGTGGTAGCACTCTGGGATATCTTCAGAGAGTGGTAGCACTCTGGGATATCTTCAGAGAGTGGTAGCACTCTGGGATATCTTCAGAGAGTGGTAGCACTCTGGGATATCTTCAGAGAGTGGTAGCACTCTGGGATATCTTCAGAGAGTGGTAGCACTCTGGGATATCTTCAGAGAGTGGTAGCACTCTACGTTTCTCCCTAATTACGACTTTACCAAATTTAAATATACATAATAAAACCCAGTTAATAACACAACCTCTTCTAGTAAAATAGTTTAAACCACAAATAGTTTGCGGTTCTAGTTTGTTATCCGCTGGCCATTCATAACCTGACGGAATTACCACACACCTTGAATGGCAGAAACAGAGTTGCGATACCAATATAAAACGGATTTGTTACTTATCCTCATTTTTTCACTCAGTCTTTTCAAAACTTTTAGAATACTGACGAAGTTCTGTGATATATACATTCTTTGAAAAAAAGTTAGGTCAATTATTTTTTAAGATTAGCTATCTAGTGTACCCGGCGCTATTAATTTTAGTACAACCTCTTAAGTGAATGGGACAATCAAATAATGAACGGCTCTTGATCCGAGGAATTTCAGCTACCCTTAGCTTTCTGGGATCAGTGTTGATTACTTTATTGTTCCTGGAGCGCTGCTCTCTCTATGGATTAAATGCTTCCTAGGAGATATAATAATATAAAATCTGAAGAGGGCTAAGCGATTAGCCGAAATATACAGTACTCCATTCATTTTCTGTTTTTTTTTCTTCGTTTTGAGAGGTTTAAGGCGTCAGGCAAGGACAGCTATCAACATGGGTTCGAATCCTGCAGG